GCTCCTTCATATGAACTTTGTGTGTTTGACGTATTAAACTACAAAAATACAATTTTTTTAGAATATTTGTTTTTACCCAAAATGAAAATGTGATGTATCTCATGCTTAAGATTGTTATATAAAAAAGTAAAGTAAAAGTAAAGTATTATACCACAAAAGACAATACAAAAATAAGTAGTAGTAGACCAAGAGTGTGGATCATATTCTTGTTCTCATTATAACATTCTAAACGTACGTATTGTTGATGAATGAATATGTTGGATGTAAAGTGCATCGGTATCCAAAATAACATACAGTATATGACATTAATAGGCAGTCAAGCCAATCTATTCCACTAGATCTACTATTACTACTTCTACTACTACTATTACTATGCTGCTACTAACACTAGCACACTTAAACTGGTGATAGACTTCTGATTTGCTTTTCATAGTGTGTGGTTAGCTAAATATGATACTTTATAAATTCCATAATGTTTCATGACACATTGACATGGTAGTCTGTCTGACAACAAATGTAATTTTGTTAACCCACTGCATGCGTTGTCTGGGATTTTAGTTCATACGGTACGGGACTAGTCAATGTCAGAATTAAAGGGAAACCTGAACTACAAAGTTGGCAAGCCGTGGATTGTTAGTTATCTGACTGAACCTTCCCTTTATGGTAGTCTGGGTTAACTGTTTCTTTAATTAAATCTGGACGTACTACCTTTAATGTTTCCAGAACCGTGACGGGGCTATGGACCACTACTTTCCTATTGGTCGCTCAATAAGCAGAGTTCTGACTCCAAATGTTCTAGAATTCTCAGAAAGACCAAAATACAACATACCATTCCACATTCTCTGTCATTGACTGTGTTCCCCTAACATCTAACAGCTAACACACACACGCACATCCACAAACACACAGTTCTTAAAATACCTCAGAGTGGCCGGGTTGTACAGGGTCTCACTACCAGTCACAGTTCTACAGAGATAAACCAACTGTTGGCACCAAACTGGCAACCAGCGTTCCATGACAACAACATTGTAATTAGCATTTCAACTTGAGTCATTATCTTGGAACTTTCGTGCCAACGTGGCGCTGACTGAAATTCTATACCAAAGCTGCTCAGAGAATAACATCACAGACTATGTTTCACATTAAGACTGTTTATATAAAATACTTCAACATCCAACATGGCTGGATACAAAACAAAAAGTATTGGTTGATTAGGTACTAGACAGGGATGTCCATTCACTCCTGTGTGTTCTTAAGCAGACATAGTGTGTTATAGTGGTGCTGCCCTGCACACGTGAACACCCCCATGCCTCTTGGATCTTTTTTTTTTGTTGCATTGTTGAACCTTGTACACTCCCAGGACAAGCTGATAGAGTTGGATTGTGACGTGTGAATCCTGTCATGAATCCTCCCTCCCTCATTATCTCTTCCTTTCCTTCCTCTCCCAATCAATACCTACCTAAAGCACTGTCCTAATTCCTAAATGACAGAGAAGCAAAGGGCCAAAACAACTCCAAAAATAGCTCCTTACTAATCAAAAAGGAAAGGAAAAAATGGTATATACACATCATCGATAAAAACATACACGCACAGATATAATTGCACTTGGCATTAACAGGGGTGGATTCTATAAGGGGTGCAGGTGGTTATGGTAACATAGGTAACAGAGATGGTGGTTTTGGCAAGCCGTGGGTTGGATGGTTCCGTGATGGACAGCATAAGTGCTGTTCAGCATGCGTGCCTGGAGAGTACATGTTACACACTATACGCCTCACGTTACACACAGCCACTAGTGAAAGTCTACACACCCCTTCTCAATTTGCTGCCTTAAAATTACATCTAAAAAGGGATTACATTAGATTTGTTTCCTATTGATCTACACAAACTACTCCACATTTTAAAAGTGAAAGAAAAATGATTACTGAGAAACACAAAATGAGGATGTATTGATGGCGTGTGTCTTCACACCTCAAAGTAAATACTTGGTGGAAGCACCTTTGGCAGCGATTACAGCTGTGAATAATTTTGAATAAGAATCTACCAACCTTTCACAACTCTTAGGGCGACATACAGTGGGGGAAAAAAGTATTTAGTCAGCCACCAATTGTGCAAGTTCTCCCACTTAAAAAGATGAGAGAGGCCTGTAATTTTCATCATAGGTACACGTCAACTATGACAGACAAATTGAGAAAAAAAATCCAGAAAATCACATTGTAGGATTTTTAATGAATTTATTTGCAAATTATGGTGGAAAATAAGTATTTGGTCACCTACAAACAAGCAAGATTTCTGGCTCTCACAGACCTGTAACTTCTTCTTTAAGAGGCTCCTCTGTCCTCCACTCGTTACCTGTATTAATGGCACCTGTTTGAACTTGTTATCAGTATAAAAGACACCTGTCCACAACCTCAAACAGTCACACTCCAAACTCCACTATGGCCAAGACCAAAGAGCTGTCAAAGGACACCAGAAACAAAATTGTAGACCTGCACCAGGCTGGGAAGACTGAATCTGCAATAGGTAAGCAGCTTGGTTTTAAGAAATCAACTGTGGGAGCAATTATTAGGAAATGGAAGACATACAAGACCACTGATAATCTCCCTCGATCTGGGGCTCCATGCAAGATCTCACCCGTGGGGTCAAAATGATCACAAGAACGGTGAGCAAAAATCCCAGAACCACACGGGGGGACCTAGTGAATGACCTGCAGAGAGCTGGGACCAAAGTAACAAAGCCTACCATCAGTAACACACTACGCCGCCAGGGACTCAAATCCTGCAGTGCAAGACGTGTCTCCCTGCTTAAGCCAGTACATGTCCAGGCCCGTCTGAAGTTTGCTAGAGTGCATTTGGATGATCCAGAAGAGGATTGGGAGAATGTCATATGGTCAGATGAAACCAAAATAGAACTTTTTGGTAAAAACTCAACTCGTCGTGTTTGGAGGACAAAGAATGCTGAGTTGCATCCAAAGAACACCATACCTACTGTGAAGCATAGGGGTGGAAACATCATGCTTTGGGGCTGTTTTTCTGCAAAGGGACCAGGACGACTGATCCGTGTAAAGGAAAGAATGAATGGGGCCATGTATCGTGAGATTTTGAGTGAAAACCTCCTTCCATCAGCAAGGGCATTGAAGATGAAACGTGGCTGGGTCTTTCAGCATGACAATGATCCCAAACACACCACCCGGGCAACGAAGGAGTGGCTTCGTAAGAAGCATTTCAAGGTCCTGGAGTGGCCTAGCCAGTCTCCAGATCTCAACCCCATAGAAAATCTTTGGAGGGAGTTGAAAGTCCGTGTTGCCCAGCGACAGCCCCAAAACATCACTGCTCTAGAGGAGATCTGCATGGAGGAATGGGCCAAAATACCAGCAACAGTGTGTGAAAACCTTGTGAAGACTTACAGAAAACGTTTGACCTGTGTCATTGCCAACAAAGGGTATATAACAAAGTATTGAGAAACTTTTGTTATTGACAAAATACTTATTTTCCACCATAATTTGCAAATAAATTCATTAAAAATCCTACAATGTGATTTTCTGGAAAAAAAATTCTCAATTTGTCTGTCATAGTTGACGTGTACCTATGATGAAAATTACAGGCCTCTCTCATCTTTTTAAGTGGGAGAACTTGCACTATTGGTGGCTGACTAAATACTTTTTTTCCCCACTGTATATCCATTGTTTTTGTCAAAATTGCTCAAGCTCAATAAATTTGGTTGGGAATCATTGATGGACAGCAATATTCAAACCTTGTCTCAGGACAGAGAGTGGACCATTCAGGAACATTTAACACCTCTTAGAAAGCCATTCTGGTGTGTCTTTGGCATAAATAAATGGTGTAATTATCCCACAGAAAAATAAAACTATCCAAGGATTTGTTTTTCAGAAGACCGAGTCGGGTTTTCCTCTAACATTTTACCTGGGCTTTGCTCCTTTCATATTTCTTTAGATCCTGACAAACTCTACAGTCCCTGCCGGTGACAAGCATACCCATAACACGATGCTGCCACCACAATACTTGAAAAAACAAAGGGATCAACAGCAGTGCATTCACTCCACATTACTGGCCTGTATGACAAAGTGAAAACAAGGAAGCCTGTGTTAAAAAATCCACTCCAAATCATTCATTCGGTTTGCAACAAGGCCGTTAAGTAATACTGCAAGACAACACAAAAAAAAATGTATGCACGCATGACTGTAAGTCGCTTTGGATAAAAGCGTCTGCAAAATGGCATATCATATTATTATTATTATTATGAACACAGCAAAGCCATTAACTTTTTGGTCTAAATTAAAGACTACAGTTTTGGGTCAAATCCGATACAACACAACACAGAGTAAAACCCTCTGTATTTTCCAGTATTGTGGTGGCAACATCATGTTACGGTTATCCTTGTCACTGGCAAGGACTGGGGAGTTTATCAGGATCAAAACAAATATGAAAGGAGCAAACCCCAGGTAAAAAGTAAAAGGAAAACCCGCCTCAATCTTCTGAAAACCTAACCTTTATTTTTCAGAAAGACAATTACAAATTATTTTATGGCAAAGACACACCATAATTGCTTTCCAAATGGTGTTGAGTGTCCTGACTTTTGAAATGTTCTTGAAAATCATAGACAATGTTTGAATATTGATGTCCATCAATGATTCACAACCAAATGTACTGGGTTAGAGCTATTTTGACAAAAACAATGGACATACAGTATGTTGTGCTACGAGTTGTGCAAAGTTGGTAGAATATTATTTAATCTGATTCACAGATGTAATAGCTTCCAAAGGCGCTTCCACCAAGTATCATCTCTGGGGTGTGAAGACATCTTCCATTTTTTTCTACAACTTTCTTTCACTTTGAAAATGAAGGTTGTGTAGATCTGTAGGGGAAAAAATCTAATATGATCCCTTTTTAGATCAAATATTAAGTAAAATGTGAAGACTGTGCAAGAGGTGTGTAGACTTTCACTAGACACTGTCTCTGTTGGGAGGTCTTCCTGAAGGCTCTCTAGTTGGTCTGCTTGGCTTTCTTCATCCTGAAACAGAGAAAAACACCCAGTATGAATATAAGACAGTTAACAGAGACATATGGATTCGTCCTTGTGTGTTCAGGTCAACCACTTGACTGTTGCGCCAGCAAAAAGTGCACTTAGATTAAACACCGTATTTAGATTAATGACTATTTGTTTTAGTCTGAGTCTCTGCCGCCCAGAGTTAGAGAACCAGGAAGGTACTACCTCTCTCTACCAAACCTCCTCTGTGATAACTACTGCTGCTGGGGTCCACAGCGAAACACTCCTCCCGTGTGTGTGTCCTGTATTAATACTCTCTGTATTCTCCAGACTAATGGTGCAGAACATATTCAACACAATGACTATCCCTCTTAAGTCTCTCTATCAGGACCAGTAGCGCGTATTCAGGGATGCCAAGGGAAGCGAGGTGACCCCTCGCAAGAGGCTGAATGTATCTCACCGGAGAAAGCATCCAAGCGAGCGAAACAGCGCCCCTCTGTCTCTGTATGTGTATTCCATCTATCTGATGCTGTCTGGTCAAAAAGAGGATGACATTGTTGCCACCCGTAGCATTGAATGCAAGGGAAGCCAGTGAGCATTTGGCCTCCCTTGATAAAAAAATAAAATAAAATAGCAAAACAGTGTTGAGCAAAACTGAGTGAGCGAAACTGTGAATGGTCCTGGTGCAACCAAATACATTTACATTTTAGTCATTTAGCAGACGCTCTTATCCAGAGCAACTTACAGTTAGTGAGTGCATACATGTTTATTTTTTTCATAAAGGCCCCCCGTGGGAAACGAACCCACAACCCTGGCGTTGCAAGCGCCATGCTCTACCAACTGAGCTACACGGGACTAATAAATAAAGTGTGAAGGGAAGCCAGTTTGGATTTGGCTTCATACCAATCACATCACATATCGTTGTGTTGTTGTCCTCAGGTGGCTAGCTAGCTAGCAAAAATTGTCCTTCTCCTAAATTAGCCATGGATGGCGATATGGATTTGGACTTGTGGTTTTACTTAATTCTCCATACTGGCCAATGATTATAATGGCGATTCTGATCCAACCATAAATCCATACATTGTGCTCCTTGCCTGAGAGGATGGAAGTTCAATATGTAGCTAAATGTAGTAGGCTAATGTTAACTAGCTGGCTCATCGTTGCCCATGAAAGGAAGTTAGGCTAGCGACCAAGCATTTTAGCCAGGTAGCATAGGACAACAAAAACTAAAAGCGTGTACGGTATGGCAGAGTCATACACCGTTTCGGCAACATGAAAGAGAGGCGGATGGTATTGGCGTTTCTCTACAAGTAGGATGAGTCAACATGTTACTTGCACGCGCACACACAGAAATCAGTACCATGGACAGCCACATAATATTTAGCTTACGTTGATTGGACTAAATTGTTTTTGGCATCTTTTAGTTGTCACTGTATTAGACTAAGTAAAGGTAATATGTTGAAATGTTAAAGTTGAAATGGTGCTGGAATAGTGGAGGCAGCTCCTGTTTTCTTTGCGACTTGCGGTAACTCTGTGGTTGTAAATCAATAGTTGTTTAGTAGTCCGAAAATGTCGGAAACATTAACTTGCTTGACCATGCTGTTGGTCATGTAACTGTTTGTTACATGCAATATGCTTTGTAGACGTCACCGGACAGACGTTGCGTTCTGGTTTTGTGATGAAACATTGGTGTGGTTGAATTTATTCTGCCATTGTGTTTTCTTATTGGCTATGACATATGAACTAACAGGTTATAGAGCAAACAACGAATTTATCACCACATAGGTTGTAGTATGGCTCTTTTTTTCTGGTTTGGCTTCCCAGTGATTTTACCCATGCACCGTTACTGCTCAGGACCCAGTTAAATATCTCTCTCTGTAGCCAGTTAAAATCTATAGAATGACTACAGATACTCTGGACATATACGTCTCTTTGACTAGCGTACCCACTACTAAGTAGCTGCTCACACTTGGCTTCTAGTGCACACCCCTGCACTAGAAGCATGGGAGAAAAGATTCTAACCTCTGTTCATTTCTCTTTTCATTACCCACACAACAGAGAAACACCTGGAGAGTCCATTTGGTTTTTAGTGATCCAATTATTTTCGAACAAAGTCATTCTCAAGGAGTTGAGCAGTCCAGCTCTCCAATACGCCCACAACGGTGTGTAAATGCTGTACACTGTCTGTCTGTCAGTCTGTCTGTCTCTCTGTTTGTATAGTACAGTAGTCTGAATGCTGATCTATGTCTGGAAGCTACAGTGCCTTCAGAAAGTATTCATACCCCTTGACATATTCCACATTTTGTTGTTACAGCCTGAATTCAAAATGGATGATATTTTTTTCTTCCTTACCCATCTACACACAATACCCCATCATGACAATGTGAAAACATGTTTGTATACATTTTTGCTAATTTATTGAAAATGAACCACAGAAATATCTCATTTACATAAGTATTCACACCCCTGAGTCAATCCTTTGTAGAAGCAACTTTGGCAGCGATTACAGCTTTGAGTCTTTCTGGGTAAGATCTCCCAGTATCTGGTGGAAAGCAGACTGAACCAGGTTTTCCTCTACGATTTTGCATGTGCTTAGCTCCATTCCGTTTAATTTTTATCCTGAAAAACTCCCCAGTCCTTACCGATTACAAGCATACCCATAACATGATGCAGCCACCACTATGCTTGACAATATGGAGAGTGGTACTCAGTAATGTGGTGTAATGTTTGGGGCAAATCCAAAACACTTTATATTCAGGACAAAAAGTGTATTGCTTTGCCACATTTTTTGCAGTATTACTTTAGTGCCTTGTTGCAAATAGGATGCATGTTTTGGAATAGTTTTATTCTGTACAGGCTTCCTTCTTTTCACTCTGTTAATTAGGTTAGTATTGTGGAGTAACTACTGTAGTGGTAAATAATATTTGATATGTGTATACACAGTATATTATATATGCCTCACATGTGACTTGTAATAAGACTAAGCAATTAACCTATTAAGCAATCACATACAAGGTATAAAGCTTAAGTTACAAGCATTATCAAGCATTACAAGGCATTATTCCAAGCATATAGGTCCTAACGTTAACTTACAGGACAAAGCATGAACAAAGAGATGTATACTAGGCCAGAGGCCTAGAAGCCTAGGAAATGAGAATTGATCATACAACCTTCCTTCATTGAGTGGAGACAGGATAAGAGTGAGAACAAGGGGGGGTGCAACTCAATATTAGGAAGGTGCTCCTTATGTTTGGTATACTCAGTGTACGTTGTGCTTCCGTGAGACTGTATAGCCTGCCCTTTACGGCCACAGGGGGCTCTGGCAATGACTGATGTAGTATCCCGTCACAGTAATGTTTTTGTGGAGGGGTGCACTGGTCACTCCTTCACTCCCTCCAACCCCAGGAACTGAAAACAGGAATGGGGTTGCCATAACACCGGGGGAAAGCTAGTAAGTTTCACTCCCGGAAGCATGCTAGCCAACGTTAGCTAGGAGACTTTTTAGCATAATCTAGGCTAGCTAGGCTCTTTGGCCACAGCACAGTGCGTATAGAATAACTAAGCCACTTAACGCTACGTATAATAAACAAGATAGCTACCCAGCAACTCCACTGTGGGGAGGCAGCAATAGCTAGTAATAGCTAGCTCGCCAAGTTAGCTAATCTGGCTAGCACACTGTGTAGCGCTCATTTAGATAGCCTGGTCTCGAAAGTCCACGTAGGACCGGATCATCAATAATACGTCTGGGAAGAAAGGCAGACACAGGTGGCAGGGGGTACCCACCGAACCTGGCCACCCTCTCTCTTTGAGTAGCCTCCCATAACTGGCGACAGCACACCAGGTTGAGCACATGCAGCCAAAGCATACCCCACGCCCAGGCAGTAATACATTTGCTTCCACCACCCAATCCATCTCCGCTTCCTGCACTTCAGTCCCAGCCGAGGTACCGGTATCCGGGAAAGGAAAGTTGCCATCGTTAATTCCAAGCTTCCTCAAGAATGCTACACATCTTTCCAGGGAGTTTGTATGTACAGTGAGGGAAAAAAGTATTTGATCCCCTGCTGAGTTTGTACGTTTGCCCACTGACAAAGAAATGATCAGTCTATAATTTTAATGGTAGGTTTATTTGAACAGTGAGAGACAGAATAACAACAAAAAAATCCAGAAAAATTCATGTAAAAAATGTTACAAATTGATTAACATTTTAATGAGGGAAATAAGTATTTGACCCCTCTGCAAAACATGACTTAGTACTTGGTGGCAAAACCCTTGTTGGCAATCACAGAGGTCATACATTTCATGTAGTTGGCCACCAGGTTTGCACACATCTCAGGAGGGATTTTGTCCCACTCCTCTTTGCAGATCTTCTCCAAGTCATTAAGGTTTCGAGGCTGATGTTTGGCAACTCGAACCTTCAGCTCCCTCCACAGATTTTCAATGGGATTAAGGTCTGGAGACTGGCTAGGCCACTCCAGGACCTTAATGTGCCTCTTCTTGAGCCACTCCTTTGTTGCCTTGGCCGTGTGTTTTGGGTCATTGTCATGCTGGAATACCCATCCATGACCCATTTTCAATGCCCTGGCTGAGGGAAGGAGGTTCTCACCCAAGATTTGACGGTACATGGCCCCGTCCATCGTCCCTTTGATGCGGTGAAGTTGTCCTGTCCCCTTAGCAGAAAAACACCCCCAAAGCATAATGTTTCCACCTCCATATTTGACGGTGGGGATGGTGTTCTTGGGGTCATAGGCAGCATTCCTCCTCCTCCAAACACGGCGAGTTGAGTTGATGCCAAAGAGCTCCATTTTGGTCTCATCTGACCACAACACTTTCACCCAGTTCTCCTCTGAATCATTCAGATGTTCATTGGCAAACTTCAGACGGGCATGTATATGTGCTTTCTTGAGCATGGGGACCTTGCGGGCGCTGCAGGATTTCAGTCCTTCACGGCGTAGTGTATTACCAATTGTTTTCTTGGTGACTATGGTCCCAGCTGCCTTGAGATCATTGACAAGATCCTCCCGTGTAGTTCTGGGCTGATTCCTCACCGTTCTCATGATCATTGCAACTCCACGAGGTGAGATCTTGCATGGAGCCCCAGGCCGAGGGATATTGACAGTTATTTTGTGTTTCTTCCATTTGCGAATAAATCGCACCAACTGTTATCACCTTCTCACCAAGCTGCTTGGCGATGGTCTTGTAGCCCATTCCAGCCTTGTGTAGGTCTACAATCTTGTCCCTGACATCCTTGGAGAGCTCTTTGGTCCTGGCCTTGGTGGAGAGTTTGGAATCTGATTGATTGATTGCTTCTGTGGACCGGTGTGTTTTATACATGTAACAAACTGAGATTTGGAGCACTCCCTTTAAGAGTATGCTCCTAATCTCAGCTCGTTACCTGTATAAAAGACACCTGGGAGCCAGATATCTTTCTGATTGAGAGGGGGGTCAAATACTTATTTCCCTCATTAAAATGCAAATCAATTTATAAAATTTTAGACATGCGTTTTTCTGGATTTTTTTGTTGTTATTCTGTCTCTCACTGTTCAAATAAACCTACCATTAAAATTATAGACTGATCACTTCTTTGTCAGTGGGCATGCATACAAAATCAGCAGGGGATCAAATACTTTTTTCCCTCACTGTAGTACGTGGCAATGCGCACACAGACTCGCGTTCTCCAAGCCGAGACAAACTACTCATAGATCATGAGTATCTTTCAGAGAAATGCTATAACTGCATGACTGGGGGAATGATCTCGACCCCGAACCCGGCTTAGCCATCGTCATCTCAGTTGTTTTCTTAGCCATCTTACTCATTGCATCAGTAAATTAAAGAATAACAAATTGTTTGTGATTAGAAAACTTATGAGAACAAGTACAACCTTCAGCACACAAAGTCCATAGTGTGAGCACGCTCTACCTCTATGGGACAGTTTAGTTGGCACAATGTAAGACAGTCTCGTTTTCCAAATGTTTGTTTTAGTAGCGTGAAATCGTTCCTGTTCACACCAAAGTGAAGAGTGGAATAATTGAAGGAATGAATCCAACCTGTGGAAGGCGGGGCTTCCAGTGAGGCGCGGATTTCATTGGCCTTGTTAGGCATGATTGTAGATCCTTCAACCAAAGTCGCTAGAGTGCGACTCCCCATAGTATGTTATACCGAAGTTGACTGACTGAAAGTGAACTACACTACATTTACATTTTAGTCATTTTAGCAGACGCTCTTATCCAGAGCGACTTACAGTTAGTGAGTGCATACATTTTTTTTTCATACTGGCCCCCCATGGGAATCGAACCCACAACCCTGGCGTTGCAAATGCAATGCTCTACCAACTGAGCTACACGGGACCAAAAGTATGTGGACACCTGCTCGTCTAAAATATCGTTCCAAAATCATTAGGGGCATTAATATGGAGTTGGTCCCCCCATTGCTGCTATAACAGCCTCCACTCTTCTGGGAAGGCTTTCCACTAGATGTTGTAACATTGCTGCGGGGACTTGCTTCCATTCAGCCACAAGAGCATTAGTGAGGTAGGGCACTGATGTTGAGCGATTAGGACTGGCTCGCAGTCTGCATTCCATTTCATCCCAAAGGTGTTCGATGGGGTTGAGGTCAGGGCTCTATGCAGGCCAGTCATGTTCTTCCACACCAATCTCGACAAACCATTTCGGTATGGACCTCGCTTTGTGCACGGGGGCATTGTCATGCTGAAACAGGAAAGGGCCTTCCCCAAATTGTTGCCACAAAGTTGGAAGCACAGAATCGTCTAGAATGTCATTGTATGCTGTAGCGTTAAGATTTCCCTTCACTGGAACTAAGGGGCCTAGCCCGAACCATGAAAAACAACCTCAGACCATTATTCCTCCTCTACCAAACTTTTCATTTGGCACTATGCATTGGGGCAGGTAGCGTTCTCCTGGCATCCGCCAAACCCAGATTCGTCCGTCGGGCTGCCAGATGGTGAAGCTTGATTCATCACTCAGAGAACGCATTTCCACTGCTGCGAGCTTTACACCACTCCAGCCGACGCTTGGCATTGCGCATGGTGATATTAGGCTTGTGTGCGGCTGCTCGGCCATGGAAACCCATTTCATAAAGCTTCCGACCAACAGTTCTTGTGCTGACGTTGCATCCAGAGGTAGTTTGGAACTCAGTAGTTAATGTTGCAACCGAGGACAGTCGATTTTTACGCACTAAGCGCTTCAGCACTCATACCACTTCTCGGCTGAGCTGTTGTTGCTCCTAGACGTTTTCACTTCACAATAACAGCACTTACAGTTGACCGGGGGCAGCTCTAGCAGGGCAGAAATTTGACAAACTGACTTGTTGGAAAGGTGACATCCAATGACTGTGCCACATTGAAAGTCGCTGAACTTTTCAGTAAGGCCATTCTACTGCCAATGTTTGTCTATGGAGATTGCATGGCAGTTTGCTTGATTTTATACACCAGTCAGCAACGGGTGTGGCTGAAATAGCCGAATCCACTAATTTGAAAGGGTGTCCACATACTTTTGTATCTATAGTGTATATTTTGGTATTTGTTTAATTAGTCCATTGTTGATATAGTCCCAAAATGATTTGCATGTTAGCAATACAATTTTCAAGACATAGCACATTAAAAATACAGAAATACAGCCGGTTTTATGCATTTTGGAGGAAAGGAGGAAATCGACACCCTGAAATTAGTCAATATCGCCATCTGCCGGCCTCTGGGCTACATTTAGCAGAAATCATGCACTGATATCAGTACAAGATGTGTGCTGAAGTTTGAGGAAGAATTTTGTGGGTGCGTCTCAAGTCAGGATTCCTCTCTTAACCCGCTAGAGTCAATGTCGGCTCGCACGTGGGAATCTAATTAACATAACAAAATCCTCATCAACATTTGACTGTTTAAACTAGAGATACTGTATCTGTTTTTTGCATGGGCTGCGTCTCAATCCACCACATCCACCGATGTCGGCCTTCCACATCTGTGGTGGAAGGTGTCAGAGCTGTAGCTGTGTTTGGCAGACCAGGAGATATCCCAGAAATCGATCTTCTCTCTAAAACCTCTGTAGCAAAGGTTACATGTCAGTTGTTTTTGCTCTATGACCCCCACAAGCTTCACTGGACTCGTCTGAAGTCGGTACCACTGATGTGTCAACTTCTGTCTGTAGTGAACGGTTTGGGCTATAAACTACTATGACCCCATCATCGAAAGCAGAGAGTCTCACGAACACACTCTATAACACCCACAAAACTCACAAGACTCGTCTGACGGTAACCCCATACCAGTTTTAAAAATGAATGGAAGTATGGAAGTTTAGTGCCAACAAAAAAAGAGGGTAAATATGGGTAAAAACAAAGTATAATAATGATTTCCTGTGATTTCTTATATCTCTCAGACACTTCAAAACATACTTCCTTTTGACTTTTTTTTTTACAATCTGTTTTGCCATGTATGAATATGTTATTTAATGCGTTTCTATGGGCTAATGGCAATAAGCAGTGCTTAATTTGTTAATAGGGAGGTGCCGGAACAAAAAGTGTGCGCTAGAGGGGGGTGACCTGGGGAGTTCTGAGGTATAGGAACGCATGAGAAAAAGAAAATCACCTTTATAATAAAGCATTGCATGCATATCATCACATTTGTGTAGTGGCACAGAGTAGAGTAGAGACACTTACAGAAGATGCACACATTGGGAACATTTTTAGTAGCCTAGGGTCCGAAAAATGTTGGGCCTTTTATAAACGGATTTCATGCAAATCAAATCAAATTTTAAATGACTGGAGACTTTGGCAGAATCTTTTTTAATACCGCACAAATGATCGAAATGGCAGGCTACTTTGACACTGACAAATTGAGATCAATAAAAATAACCTTGTCTTGAATCCATTAATAGCCTAGGCCTAGGTGTGTGGAGACACATATTGTAGGCTACAATATTGGGAGGAAATGATAGTCCTAAAAATGCTTTCCAGTTTCACTGACTTACCCAATGATGCGCAGCTCACTCGCTGGTGATTGTCGATGTGCTCGTGCCAAAAGCCTATCTCTCTCTCTCTTTTGTAAAAACAATATTTGGAAGTTGATCAAATATTTTGGTAGCCTACAGCATAGTCTTCTCTTTTCAGCAGGAGCCATTGCTTTCCAACCAGTGTTTTCCCTCGATTGTATTTGTCTGCGTGCTGTTTTTTCACTGACAGATTTACAGCGTGTTCCAGACTGTAGGCTATTCCTTGTTATTGGGCTAAAATCCACAGCTAGGCTGTTTTTAAAAATAAGCTATTGATCCTCTGTGGCTAAATTATAGGCCTTCTCATGGTGTAGTAGGCTATTCTGAATGATTTCATTTATTTCTAAACAGACAGCAGTAATTCTATAACTTTGTATTTCAATTTATCAGGGGTGCTGCAGATCATCCAGAACCTTTCGCGTAGCTATGATTATATAAGGAAATAAATGATGAAGTGCAACGCTGGAGAGATGAGAGTTGCAGGCTCATGTCTATCAGAGCAGAGAGGGAGAGAGATCATAGAAAGGGAATCTCATTCTAGTTATGTGAGAGATATTGGCACACTTCTCACGCCCCGGTCACCCGTTGGTCTCAGACATACAGTAGGTTACAATGTAGCGCAAACCATAAACCCAGGCTTAAAATCTACTTTTTCACATTACATTTTTTTGTGGGGGCAGGAGAATTAATGAAGAGGTATCTCGAATGAACTTTGATCACTTTTATTAGAATTTTTACATTGCAAAAAGTGTCAATTATTTTTCATGCCAGGACAGGTATCGGATCTGGTCAAATAGGTTCCGGAACAAAACAGCGGGTATCTCCAAAGCGGGTCAGACGCCGTTCACCAACCACACCAGGAATTCTCTTCAGGTATTCAACCTTAACATCCGTCATCACCCCTGAGATGACTCCTTTGACGGGTGCTCTACTCCAAAGTTCAAAACACAAAACTTCTGTTGTCCGGATTCTTTTGAGGCTCCTTACTCAACAACCGCATCCCAACAAGAAGCGATTCATTATCATTCATACACGTATCCTCCAATCCAATTTTAGACAATTTCCTTTTTGTTCCAGTTTTCGATACTACTGTTGTCCATTCAGAACATTCGTCTTCACCAACTTTGCTCGACGTGCTGCTTGATTCGAACTCTGCATCCACTTCCGCCATCTATCCTTCCTTCTACAGCACGATGTAAATCTCAAAACATTTTTGACGTCGCCAAGACGCCATGTCATGATGTCATCACACTGCGTTACCAGACTTAAGCTGTGTTTAAGACACCTGGGAACTCGGAAATCTCCGACATCCGACTTCAGTGCTTTATGCTGCTTTCATAACCAAGTGGGAATGTGGTATTTCCCACATACGACTGGGAAAAATCCACTCGAAAGCCCCTCCAACTGGTAATTAATAGTGGGAAACTCATATCATCCCTGAGCGTCACCTACTAAGGAAATTACCTTGATAACAGCATTTCCGGCAGTTAAATGCAACAACAGAACATTGCTTATAAAAAACAATCTATTCATATGTTTTTTAACACTATAATTTGTTGACAAGCATGATAGCTGTATTTTTAGTTTATGGTTGATGCAGTTTGTTGGCCATTAGCCAATCAGCATTTCTCAATGAGTTCAAAGCACGTGAATGCATCCAACTGGTATTTACGACTTCACAACTGGTAATTACCACCTTCCCACTTGGTTATGAACGCAGCTTTCAAGACAACTGTGAAATCTGAAGGAAAAATATTAGCTCCGAAAATGCTTAACCTCCAGATGAGTATGAGGGGGGAGTTTAAGTACAATTCTTATAAGCTTGTTTGGCTGGTAGCTTATTCTTTAGATGTTTGGGGCTGCTGGTGAACCATGATGTGCAGGAATAATCAAAGTGACACTGGACTTGCACACTTGCCAGAGTCTTTAGGGTGTCTATAGCTAGGTTTCCACCCAATTGGTGACAGAATTTTATGTGAATATTCTAAAATCTTCATAAAAACAATATGCCATTTCAGAGTTTCCTTTGGGAAAATTTGGCACCGGACAACATGACAGGGGATTTTAGGCTACTTTCCTAAAACAATAATTGTCCACCTCACATTTCAGCTGTCAGAGATTTGAGCACTAAATGTATCAGGGCATTGCATGCAAAGACCTATAGGCTTAGGTGTCCACTGTATGATGATATTCATATATATAAAGGAACAGAAGCAAAATACCTAACCCCAGAGAGACAGAGATATCCCGGTGGCAAGCTACGACACCGACATGTATTTCTTTATGTCAGATGGCAACTGCGTCTGCTATACAGATACATACAGTGGGGGAAAAAAGTATTTAGTCAGCCACCAATTGTGCAAGTTCTCCCACTTAAAAAGATGAGAGAGGCCTGTAATTTTCATCATAGGTACACGTCAACTATGACAGACAAATTGAGATTTTTTTTCTCCAGAAAATCACATTGTAGGATTTTTTATGAATTTATTTGCAAATTATGGTGGAAAATAAGTATTTGGTCACCTACAAACAAGCAAGATTTCTGGCTCTCACAGACCTGTATCTTCTTCTTTAAGAGGCTCCTCTGTCCTCCACTCATTACCTGTATTAATGGCACCTGTTTGAACTTGTTATCAGTATAAAAGACACCTGTCCACAACCTCAAACAGTCACACTCCAAACTCCACTATGGCCAAGACCAAAGAGCTGTCAAATGACACCAGAAACAAAATTGTAGACCTGCACCAGGCTGGGAAGACTGAATCTGCAATAGGTAAGCAGCTTGGTTTGAAGAAATCAACTGTGGGAGCAATTATTAGGAAATGGAAGACATACAAGACCACTGATAATCTCCCTCGATCTGGGGCTCCACGCAAGATCTCACCCCGTGGGGTCAAAATGATCACAAGAACGGTGAGCAAAAATCCCAGAACCACACGGGGGGACCTAGTGAATGACCTGCAGAGAGCTGGGACCAAAGTAACAAAGCCTACCATCAGTAACACACTACGCCGCCAGGGACTCAAATCCTGCAGTGCCAGACGTGTCCCCCTGCTTAAGCCAGTACATGTCCAGGCCCGTCTGAAGTTTGCTAGAGTGCATTTGGATGATCCAGAAGAGGATTGGGAGAATGTCATATGGTCAAAATAGAACTTTTTGGTAAAAACTCAACTCGTCGTGTTTGGAGGACAAAGAATGCTGAGTTGCATCCAAAGAACACCATACCTACTGTGAAGCATGGGGGTGGAAACATCATGCTTTGGGGCTATTTTTCTGCAAAGGGACCAGGACGACTGATCCGTGTAAAGGAAATAATTAATGGGGCCATGTATCGTGAGATTTTGAGTGAAAACCTCCTTCCATCAGCAAGGGCATTGAAGACGAAACGTGGCTGGGTCTTTTGGCATGACAATGATCCCAAACACACCGCCCGGGCAACGAAGGAGTGGCTTCGTAAGAAGCATTTCAAGGTCCTGGAGTGGCCTAGCCAGTCTCCAGATCTCAACCCCATAGAAAATCTTTGGAGGGAGTTGAAAGTCTGTGTTGCCCAGCGACAGCCCCAAAACATCACTGCTCTAGAGGAGATCTGCATGGAGGAATGGCCAAAATACCAGCAACAGTGTGTGAAAACCTTGTGAAGACTTACAGAAAAAGTTTGACCTGTGTCATTGCCAACAAAGGGTATATAACAAAGTATTGAAAAACTTTTGTTATTGACCAAATACTTATTTTCCACCATAATTTGCAAATAAATTCATTAAAAATCCTACAATGTGATTTTCTGGATTTTTTTTCCTCATTTTGTCTGTCATGGTTGACGTGTACCTATGATGAAAATTACAGGCCTCTCTCATCTTTTTAAGTGGGAGAACTTGCACAATTGGTGGCTGACTAAATACTTTTTTTCCCCACTGTATATACGTAGAGAAGGAGGGTAACTCGTTCCATTTTCGATCTGAATATTTTGTATAAAGATAAGCATTATATTGTAAGATTATAGGAGTAATTCTGGTGGGCCTGAAACAGTCCTCCTCACCTCAAGTTCAACTGTGTCACGGTTTCGGCCGAGGCTGCCTCTCTCCCTTGCTCGGGCAGGCTTCGGCGTTCGTCGTCTCCGGAATACTAGCTGCCACCGTTGTATGTTTCTATGTTTGTTTGCTTTTGTCTGATTGTTGTACACCTGTTATCGTTTAGTGTAATTAGTGTCCTATAAGTTCTCGTTGTGTTTGTCTAGTGTTGTGTGTGATTGTTTTACTGTCGTGCCGGTAGGCTGGAATATTACTGTTTGCTCGGTTGAGCTATTTTGCTCCTTAGTTTTGGAGTATTTCGTCGCACCTGTTTGTGCGCTTGTGTTTTCGCCTACGTGCGGAGCTTTTGCCTCAGGGCAGTTATTTCGTGTTTGTTTTGCTGTGCATCACTAAAGTCTGTTGGACTAACGTACTGCGTCCTGCGCCTGATTCCACCCACACCCACCTACATCTACCTTGACAGAATCACACACCTTTCTCGATGGAATCAGCAGGAGCCGCAGCAGCACAGGCGACGTTGGAGGACAGGGTCCGTGAGCAGGATGACCAGATCCTGCGGATGGGGTCCGCACTGCAGGAGGTGATCACCACCATCCGAGGCTGGGAGACCCGAGGGACTCCTCCACCGCCATCCTCCCTAACCGCACCATCGGCCACTCAGCCTATTCCCGCTCCGGAACCCAGAGGAGTTCGACTCTCGCTCCCGAGGGCCTACGATGGGACCGCGGCCGGGTGTCAGAGATTCCTTCTCCAGGTGGAGCTTTACCTGGCCACCGTGCACCCGGCGCCCTCGGGACACGAGAGTGTGTCCGCCCTGATCTCCTGCCTTTCTGGGAAGGTGTTGGAATGGGCCAATGCAGAGTGGAGGAGGATCGACGCTAACACCATCACCTACGACGAGTTCTCCCGCCGCTTCAGGGCGGTGTTTGACCATCCCCCGGAGGGGAAAGCGGCGGGGGAGCGTCTGGTCGGCCTCAGGCAGGGGAAGAGGAGTGCCCAGGAGTTTGCCTTGGAGTTCCGTACCCTAGCGGCGGATGCAGGGTGGAATGAGCGGGCTCTCATTGATCACTACAGATGTAGTCTACGCGAGGACGTCCGTAGGGAGCTGGCCTGTAGGGACACCAGCCTCTCGTTCGACCAGTTGGTCGACATGTCCATCAGGCTGGATACCCTGCTAGCTACCCGCGGACGTTCCGAGGGGGGTCCGTCCATTTCACCCTCCAGCGCCTCCGAGCCGTGCCCCATGGAGCTCGGGGGCGCTGGCGCTAGAGAGAGGAGGGGTCGGCTTACGAGGGGGTCCATCTCCTGCACCAACTGTGGTCGGGGAGGACACACCGCGGCTAGGTGCTGGGGATGGCCTCCTCGGGGAGAGGACGACAGGTCCCGCACTGGGGAGTCCTTCCAGGTGAGTAGGCGCCCCACTCACCCAGAGCTCTCTGTTGCACATTTTTGTATATCTGTGCGTTTTCCACAGGTAGCACCTCATTCCCAGCATAAGGCGCTGGTAGATTCAGGCACGGCTGGGAATTTTGTTGATAAGAAGTTTTGTTTAGCCTTAGGGATTCCCCTTCTCCCTGTGGACGTTCCCTTCCCCGTTCATGCCCTAGATAGCCGTCCGTTGGGTGCGGGCTTGATCAGGGAGGTCACTGCGCCACTTAGGATGTGTGCGCAGGGGGGTCATCAGGAGATGATCCAGCTATTTCTGATCGACTCGCCTGCGTATCCGGTGGTGCTGGGCATGCCCTGGTTGAGTACCCATAACCCATCGATTTCGTGGCAGGAGAGGGCTCTGATGGAGTGGTCTGCCCAGTGTGTGGGTCGATGTTTAGGCATTTCCATAGGGGCTACCTCGGTGGAGAGTCCAAACCAGGTGCCCGCATTGCACGTTCCCCCTGAGTATGGGGATTTGGCTAATGTGTTCAGTAAGTCGAGGGCGACGCAGTTGCCTCCCCATAGGCAGGGAGATTGTGCGATAGACCTCCAGGCAGGAGCTGCGCTCCCACGGAGCCATGTGTATCCTCTGTCTCAGGAGGAGAAGAGAGCTATGGAGACGTACATAGACGAATCACTGAGACAAGGATACATACGGCCTTCCACTTCCCCTGCGTCCTCGAGTTTCTTTTTTGTGAAGAAAAAGGATGGAGGATTACGCCCGTGCATTGATTACCGTGGTCTCAATCAGATCACGGTGAAGTACAGTTATCCACTCCCGCTGATTGCGACCATGACGGAGTCATTGCACGGGGCGCGTTTCTTCACTAAATTAGATCTCAGGAGCGCGTACAACTTGGTGCGCATTAGGGGGGGCGATGAATGGAAGACGGCCTTTAGTACCACCTCGGGCCATTACGAGTATCTTGTCATGCCATACGGGTTGATGAACGCTCCTTCAGTTTTCCAATCATTTGTGGATGAGATCTTCAGGGACATGCAGGGGCAGGGGGTGGTCGTGTACATCGATGACATTCTCGTGTACTCACCTACCCGAGTCGAGCATGTGGCCCTGGTGCGCCGAGTGTTGCGGAGACTGTTGGAGCACGACTTGTATGTCAAGGCAGAGAAGTGTCTGTTCTTCCAGGAGTCGGTCTCCTTTTTGGGTTATCAGTTGTCTGCGTCAGGGGTGAAGATGGAGGTAGACCGGGTGTCAGCCGTGCGTAATTGGCAAACGCCAACTACTGTGAAGGAGGTGCAGCAGTTTTTGGGGTTTGCGAATTATTACCGGAGGTTTATCCGGGGTTTTGGACAGGTGGCAGCTCCCATAACGTCTCTTTTGAAGGGGGGTCCGGTGCGTCTGCAGTGGTCAGCCGAGGCGGACAGGGCGTTTGGGAGGCTGAAGGACCTGTTTACCTCGGCTCCGGTGCTGGCGCATCCGGATCCCTCTTTGCCATTTCAGGTAGAGGTGGACGCGTCAGAGGCCGGTATAGGAGCCGTGCTGTCGCAACGGTCCGGCGCGCCACCTAAGCTCCGCCCCTGTGCCTTTTATTCCAAGAAGCTCAGTCCGGCGGAGCGAAACTATGACGTGGGGGACAGGGAGTTGTTAGCCGTGGTACAGGCCCTAAAGGTGTGGAGGCACTGGCTTGAGGGGGCTCAACACCCTTTCCTCATTTTGACGGACCACCCTAACCTGGAGTACATCTGGGCAGCGAGGAGGCTGAACCCTCGCCAGGCGAGGTGGAATATGTTTTTGACCCGTTTCACATTTAAGATCACGTACATCCCTGGGTCACAGAACGGTAAGGCAGACGCACTGTCTCGGCGGTATGACACGGAGGAGAGGTCCGTGGAGCCCACTCCCATACTGCCGGAGTCTTGTCTGGTGGCACCGGTAGTGTGGGAGGTCGATGCCGAACTCGAGCGGGCGTTACGCACCGACCCTAGTCCACCTCAATGCCCGGAGGGTCGGAAGTACGTTCCGCTCGAGGTTCGGGATCGTTTGATCTATTGGGCTCACACGTCACCCTCCTCTGGACACCCTGGTATCGGCCGGACAGTGCACTGTCTTAGTACCAAGTACTGGTGGCCCACGTTGGCGAGGGATGTGAGGGTTTATGTTTCCTCCTGCTCGGTGTGCGCCCAGTGTAAGGCGCCTAGACATCTGCCTAGGGGTAAGTTACTACCCCTGCCCGTTCCACAACGACCATGGTCTCACCTCTCGGTGGATTTCCTCACTGACCTTCCTCCTTCACAGGGGAATACCACTATACTGGTCGTTGTGGACCGGTTTTCTAAGGCCTGTCGTTTGCTCCCTATGCCGGGCCTTCCTACTGCCCTGCAAACCGCCGAAGCACTATTCACCCATGTGTTCCGGCACTACGGGGTACCCGAGGATATTGTGTCTGATCGAGGTCCCCAATTTACCTCCAGAGTCTGGAGAGCTTTTATGGAGCGGTTGGGGGTCTCGGTGAGCCTCACCTCGGGTTACCACCCGGAGAGTAATGGGCAGGTGGAAAGCGTGAACCAGGATGTGGGTAGGTTTCTTAGAACATACTGCCAGGACCGGCCGGAGGAGTGGGCAAGGTACGTTCCCTGGGCCGAGATGGCCCAGAATTCCCTACGCCATTCCTCCACTAACCTAACCCCTTTTCAATGTGTGTTAGGTTACCAGCCGGTTCTGGCACCTTGGCAGCAGAGCCAGATCGAGGCTCCTGCGGTGGATGAGTGGGCGCGGCGCTCGGAGGAGACATGGAACGCTGCACACGTCCACCTGCAGCGGGCTCTCCGACGTCATAAGGCGAGCGCCGATCTCCACCGCAGTGAGGGACCGGTGTACGCACCTGGTGATCGAGTCTGGCTCTCTACCAGAAACCTGCCCCTCCGCCTGCCCTGTCGGAAACTGGGTCGGCGGTTTGTAGGGCCATTTAAAGTCCTGAGAAGGTTGAACGAGGTGTGTTACAAATTACAACTACCTGTTGAGTATAAGAGTATTAACCCCTCGTTCCATGTGTCTCTTCTCAGGCCGGTGGTAGCTGGCCCACTCCAAGAAAGTGAGATCAGGGAGACTCCTCCGCCCCCATTGGACATCGAGGGGGCACCGGCGTACTCCGTACGGTCCATCTTGGATTCGAGACGTCGGATGGGGGGTCTCCAATATCTAGTGGAGTGGGAGGGGTACGGCCCGGAGGAGCGGTGATGGGTGCCGAGGAGAGACATTTTGGACCCGTCTCTCCTGACGGAATTCCATCGTGGGCACCCGACGCACCCTGCTCCGCGTCCTCCTGGTCGTCCCCGAGGCCGGAGTCGGCGCACGTCTGGAGCCGCGCGTCAAGGGGGGGGTACTGTCACGGTTTCGGCCGAGGCTGCCTCTCTCCCTTGCTCGGGCAGGCTTCGGCGTTCGTCGTCTCCGGAATACTAGCTGCCACCGTTGTATGTTTCTATGTTCGTTTGCTTTTGTCTGATTGTTGTACACCTGTTATCGTTTAGTGTAATTAGTGTCCTATAAGTTCTCGTTGTGTTTGTCTAGTGTTGTGTGTGATTGTTTTACTGTCGTGCCGGTAGGCTGGAATATTACTGTTTGCTCGGTTGAGCTATTTTGCTCCTTAGTTTTGGAGTATTTCGTCGCACCTGTTTGTGCGCTTGTGTTTTCGCCTACGTGCGGAGCTTTTGCCTCAGGGCAGTTATTTCGTGTTTGTTTTGCTGTGCATCACTAAAGTCTGTTGGACTAACGTACTGCGTCCTGCGCCTGATTCCACCCACACCCACCTACATCTACCTTGACAAACTGTCAGAGTCAGTTGGAGCACAGGGGGTACTGCTTTCATATCATAGGCCTGCAGTAGCTAAAGCTTAATAATAGTCACACCATACCAAACCTTCACAAACATTTCTAAACTTTATTAGGGTAATATCAAAAGTAAGCCATTGTTTATAGGGAAAATACGAGATGAAGAGAGTATGTAAACCAGGGAAAAAACACACTACCCTCCCTTGTGCCCCCCAAAAAACCACACAACCCTCCCCAAAGCAAAAAAAATGTTTGACAACCCTTGCCTATTTTGGACCACCCCTCCCCCAGTAAATTTTTATCTGTCCTTAACATGACGAAGCTAACTTGCTAGCAAGCTAAGTTTAGCACCTGGCTAACACATTTCAAAACTATGAAATAACACATTTGGAATCATAAAGTAACCAAAAAAGTGTTAAACAAATTAAAATAGATTTTATATTTGAGATTCTTCAAATAGCCACCCTTTGCCTTGATGACAGCTTTTCACACTCTTGGCATTCTCTCAATAAGCTTCACCTGGAATGCTTTTCCAACAGTCTTGAAGGTGTTCCCACATTTGCTGAGCACTTGTTGGCTGCTTTTCCTTCACTCTGCCGTCCGACTCATCCCAAACCATCTCAATTGTGTTGAGGTCGGGGGATTGTGGAGGCCAGGTCATCTGATGCAGCACTCCATCACTCTCCTTCTTGGTAAAATAGCCCTTAAACAGCCTGGAGGTGTGTTGGGTCATTGTCCTGTTAAAAAACAAATGATAGTCCCACTAAGCCCAAACCAGATGGGATGGCGTATCGCTGCAGAATGTTGTGGTAGCTATGCTGGTTAAGTGTGCCTTGAATTCTAAATAAATCACAGACAGTGTCACCAGGAAAGCACCCCCACACCATAATACCTCCTTCTCCATGCTTTATGGTGGGAACTACACATGCAGAGATCATCCGATCACCCACACCGCGTCTCAAAAAGACACGCCGGTTGGAACCAAAAATCTCAAATTTGGACTCCAGACCAAAGGACACATTTCTAATGTCCATTGCTCGTGTTTCTTGACCCAAGCAGGTCTCTTCTTCTTATTGGTGTCCTTTAGTAGTGGTTTCTTTGCAGGAATTCAACCATTAAGGCCTGATTCACACAGTCCCCTCTGAACAGTTGATGTTGAGATGTGTCTGTGACTTGAACTCTGTGAAGCATTTATTTGGGCTGCAATTTCTGAGGTTGGTAACTAATTAACGTACCCTCTGCAGCAGAGGTAACTCTGGGTCTTCCTTTCCTGTGGCGGTCCTCATGAGAGCCAGTTTCATCATAGCGCTTGATGGTTTTTGCGACTGCACTTGAAGAAACTTTCAAAGTTCTTGAAATGTTCCATATTGACTGACCTTCATGTCTTAAAGTAATGATGGACTGTCGTTTCTCTTTGCTTATTTGAGCTGTTCTTTCCATAATATGGACTTGTCTACCAAATAGGGCTATCTTCTTGTCACAACATAACTGATTGGCTCAAACGCATTAAGAAGGAAAGAAATTTCACAAATTAACTTTTAAGAAGGCACACTGTAAGGGTTGGTGTGAGGTGTGACCCAGGTGCGGTGCAGGTTAGACAGTAGGCAGTAGGCAGAGATGGCGAAACAAGGATCTTTACTGGTGGTCCCAAAACCAGGATACAAAACAACGGACTTTACACTAAAAAGAAAGGCGGAGCAAATAAGACTCCAAAAAACAGGCTGACAGCCAAAATATGAATTACTAACTGTGACTGAAATAATTAATAAACAGGGAGAACACTTCTCACGTACCTGTCCATACGTCCCGCGATCAGACACTGATTAGTACTGCTAGGCATAGTGAAACTAGCAGAGAAAACTGAGCAAGGGAACACAGGGACGTGAGGGCATAAATACACAGGTGAACAGGTAGACACAGGTGACACCAATAGGATCATGATTAGTCCAGACTGTGAGTGAGGAGGTGCCTAAGGTTGTCGGAGGATGACACCTAGTGGGTCGCTCCGGAACTGCAACCCCCTCCTGTAACAGCACACCTGTTAATTGAAATGCATTCCAGGTGACTACCTCATGACGCTGGTTGAGAGAATGCCAAGAGTGTGCACAGCTGTCATCAAGGCAAAGGGTGGCTATTTGAATCTCATATATAAAATATATTTAGATTTGTTTAACACTTTTTTGGTTACTACATGATTCCATATGTGTTATTTCATAGTTTTGATGTCTTCACTATTATTCTACAATGTAGAAAATAGTAAAAAATTAAGAAAAACCCTTGAATGAGTAGGTGTGTCCAAACTTTTAACTGGTAGTCTATGTTTTGATTATATTTTTTTATATTAAATGACCTAGACATTATTTGGGTTGAATGCTGTAACAACACAGAATAAAACAAATAATAAAAGTCCCATGATGGTAGTGACTGCCCATTCCTGCTTATCATTTATTAACCATAATTTATTCACATTAATTACTTTAATAGTTTATTACATTTGTTTTATTTGATGACTTTATTATTTCATTCCAAGTCATCATATCCTCTCTACAGAGCTGCTGCCTATGCTGTCTGACAAAATCACTATTTTAGTAGTTCTTCAAAGTAAATAAGGCATACTTTTATGACTGCTGAATACCAACTATCAATCACAGATCATGTATTTTCAGGTAAAGATACCTCGCAAAGCAACTGCTCTCTATCCCTCTCGATAGAGTGTTCTCCTGTCTCTTCTCTCTCTCTCTGTCTGCCCCACATAGACAGGACAAGTAGGCGCGCAATGGATTATGGTCATTGTAGTCAATTGCCACGTTTTCTGCGTTGAACCATGTAGAATATTGGCTTGTTGAAAACTACAACTCACTACTACATCGCACAGTTCGGGCTTGATCTGATTTATCTCTAGAGAAACTGGGCATTGAGCTCACTGAAAAAAAGAAAGAAATGCAATTCAAATAATTGAATCGACGTCAGTCAATTAGTTGTTTAAAAACTGAAAAATTACCGAAATGTCGTTAATCGCTCAGCACTATTCAACATTGGTGCCCTAATCTATTCTAATGTATACTTTAAAGGTATATTTTAATGTCTGTCATTATTGTATGTTATTTATTCAAGCCTACACTGAGAATGTAGAAAGAGTGCTGTTATTAACTGAACAAGAGGGGAGGCACCGCTATGTACAGTATTGATGACGTCTAGCCCTGATGTCCCTTTTCCTTTTGCCTGATCCGAGAATAAAGCCAACCCTCAGCATGACTCTTTTTACAATCGCCAGAACGCAACACACACGACATCACACATAGGCGCAGCACACCGGCTACATGTGCATGGAGGAATATCGCTGGGTTGCGTAAAGACTGACGAGGACTAGCTACCAAGCCGAGTCTTGCCAGCAAAGCAATTGTTGGTTGGACAAGCACCTTCCATTCGCGAGTCACCAGGATCGACGGCCATCTTTACCGGCTAACGTCAGCTAGCTAGCTACAGTACAGTCAACTATAGCTAAATAATACACAGGCCCCATGTCTGGGCCTCATAGTATTGATGCAAACCAATGTGGATATCAATGTGTGGATTGCTTCGGCTGTAATGGGACTGTCCAGTAGCTGTCAACTGAAGCCATCATCAGGCTACTTACTTGCACCCATACTAACAGAGTCTTTTATTTATGTTTCTTGTGCTATGTAGAAACTATTAGCAAGTCATGGAAATAATCAACTGTATGCTGTTCCATTTATGAAAGTAGCTTAATTAATAGTGATTGTGGTGTTAATCTATCTGTGGAAATCTAAAGAAAGTAACAGTAAGGTGAAAGTAACCGTCATTTACACAGGAACAGGGGAACAGAGCATTGCTTTAGAATGCAGTTTCAAGACCCCGTAGGTACACTGAAACTATGCAGAAACTATACAGAAAGTAACAGTAAGGTACACAAACTATGGTCAAAGTCATAGTAATTTACACGGTAACATTGGAACAGAGCACTGCTTTAGAATACAGTGTAAAGGCCCCATTAGGTACACAGAAACTATGGTGAAAGTAGTAATTATAGTTATAGTAATTTACACAGTAACAGGGGAACAGAGCATTGCTTTAGAATACAGTGTCTATGTCCCGTAGGTACACTGAAAATATGGTGAAACTACACATGAAGTAACATGTAAGGTACATCATATTTATTTAAGCACAGTGATGAAATAACTGGGTAACGACATGAAAGTAATCGGAAACAAGATGGAAACAAGATGGCAACTACCCAGCAACAAGCAAAGACCCAAAAGTGAAAGTTCCAAGTAATTCTTAATAAGTATAGCCTCTATTATTGATAGTTCTTCTTTATTAATAGTTGTTCCTACATAACCAGAATGGCGCAGAGGGGATGGCTGCCGTTTTACGGGTTCCTAACCATTTGTGCTATTTTGTGTTTTTTCGCGTTGTTTGTAACTTATTTTGTACATAATGTTTCTGCCTCTGTCTCTTATGACCGAAAAGAGCTTTGGGATATCAGAACAGCGATTACTCACCTCGAACTGGACAAAGATCTTTTCTTTAACGAGTCGGACGTGAAGGATTTACTGCTGCTCCCGGACCAGGCCCAAATCCCAGTCATTCGCATGAAGAGGAGACGCGATACAGGGGACGCAGATCCGGGTGCCTTGAGCGATTTTGTCCGTGAACGGGTAACCCGCCTCTACCATCCGTCCTATTGGCCAAAGTGCAATCATTGAAGAATATACTGGATGAGCTCAGTTTGAGACTATCCTACCAACGGGACATTAAAAACTGTAATATCTTATATTTTAAACCGAGTCGTGGCTGAACGACGACATGGATAATACACAGTTGGCTGGGTTTTCCGTGCATCGACAAGACAGAACAGCTACCTCCGGTAAGACGAGGGGTGGTCGTCTGTGTCTATTTGACAATAACAGTAGTGAGCGAAATCTAATATTAAAGAAGTCTTGAGGTTTTGCTCGCCTGAGGTAGAGTACCTCATGATAAGCTGTAGACCCCACTATTTACCAAGAGAGTTTTCATCTATATGTGGCAGGGCTTGCAAACTATTACGGACTACAAAAGGAAGCCCAGCCGTGAGCTGCCCAGTGACACGAACCTACCAGACGAGCTAAATTACATCTATGCGCGCTTCGAGGCAAGCAACATTGAAGCATGCATGAGCGCAACAGCTGTTCCGAACTACTGTGTGATCACGCTCTCCGTAGCCGATGTGAGTAAGACCTTTAAACAGGTCAACATTCGGACTACCAGGACGTGTACTAAGAGCATGTGTTGACCAACTGGCAAGTGTCTTCACTGACATTTTCAAACTGTCCCTGACCGAGTCTGTAATACCTACATGTTTCAAGCAGACAACCATAGTCCCTGTGCCCAAGAACGCCAAGGTAACCTGCCTAAATGATTACCGCCACGTAGCACTTACGTCGGTAGCCATGAAGTGCTTTGAAAGGCTGATCATGGCTCCCATCAACACCATCATCCTAGAAATCCTAGACCAACTCCAATTCGCATACCGCCCTAACAGATCCACAGATGACGCAATCTCTATTGCACTCCACACTGCCCTTTCCCACCTGGACAAAAGGAACAGCTAAGTGAGAATGCTGTTCATTGACTACAGCTCAGCGTTCAACACCATAGTGCCCTCAAAGCTCATCACTAAGCTAAGGACCCTGGGACTAAACAGCTCACTCTGCAACTGGATCCTGGACTTCCTGACGGGCCGCTCCCAGGTGGTAAGGGTAGGCAACAAGACATCTGCCACACTGATCCTCAACACGGGGGCCCCTCATGGGTGCATGCTTAGTACCCTCCTGTACTCCCTGTTTACCCACGACTGCATGGTCAAGCACGACGTGGCCAAGCACAACCCATTATTACGTTTGCCGACAACACAACGGTGGTAAGCCTGATCACCGACAACTATGAGACAGCCTATAGCGAGGAGGTCAGAAATATGGAAGTGTGCTGCCAGGACAACAACCTCTCCCTAAACGTGATCAAGACAAAGGACCTGATCATGGACTACAGGAAAAGGAGGGCCGAGCACGCCCCCATTCTCATCGACGGGGCTGTAGTGGAGCAGGTCGAGAGCTTCAGGTTCCTTGGTGTCCACATCACCAACAAACTATCATGGTCTAAACACACCAAGACAGTCGTGAAGAGGGCACGACAATGCCTATTCCCCTTCAGGAGACTAAAAAGATTTGGCATGGGTCCTCAGATCCTCAAAACGTTCTGCAGCTGCACTATCGAGAGCATCTTGACTGGTTGCATCACCGCCTGGTATGGAAACTGCTCGTTATCTGACCGCAAGGCGCTACAGAGGGTAGTGCGTATGGCCCAGTACATCACTGGGGCCAAGCTTCCTGCCATCCAGGACCTCTATACCAGGCGGTGTCAGAAGAAGGCCCTAAAAATTGTCAAAGACTCCAGCCACCCTAGTCATAGACTGTTCTCTCTGCTACCGCATGGCAAGCGGTACCGAAGCGCCAAGTCTAGTTCCAAACGGCTCCTTAACAGCTTCTACCCCTAAGCCATAAGACTGCTGAACAGTTAATCACATGGCTACCCGGACTATTTGCATTTTCTTACGCTGCTGCTACTCACTGTTTATTATCTATGCATAGTGACTTTCCCCGTACCTGCAGTGCATTCGGAAAGTATTCAGACCCCTTGACTTTTTCTACATTTTGTTACATTACAGCCTTATTCTAAAATTGATTTTTCCTCATCAATCTACACACAATACCCCATATTGACAAAGCGAAAACAGGTTTTTATAAATTTAGGAAAATGTCTAAAAAAAATTTTTTTTTTACCGTATTTACAAAATATTCAGACCCTTTGCTATGAGACTCGAATTTGAGCTCAGGTGCATCCTGTTTCCATTGATCATCCTTGAGATGTTTCTACAACTTGATTGGAGTCCACCTGTGGTAAATTCAATTGATTGGACATGATTTGGAAAGGCACACATCTGTCTATGTAAGGTCCCACAGTTGACAGTGCATGTCAGAGCAAAAACCAAGCCATGAGGTCGAAGGAATTGTCCGTAGAGCGCAGTGACAAGATTGTGTCGAGGCACAGATCTGAGAAGGGTACCAAAAAATGTCTGCAGCATTGAAGGTCCCCAAGAACACAGTGGCCTCCATCATTCTTAAATGTAAGAAGTTTGGAACCACCAAGTATCTTCCTAGAGCTGGCCGCCCGGCCAAACTGAGCAATCGGGGGAGTAGGGCCCGATGGTCACTCTGACAGAGCTCCAGAATTCCTCTGTGGAGTTGGGAGAAACTTCCAGAAGGACCAACCATCTCTGCAGCACTCCACCAATCAGGCCTTAATGCACTGTACATGTAGATATTACCTCAATTACCTCGACTAACCTGTACCCCCGCACATTGACTCGGTACCGGTACCCCCTGTATATAGCCTCATTATTGTTATTTATTGTGTTACTTTTTATTTTTATTTTTTATTTTTACTTTAGTTTATTTAGTAAATATTTTCTTAACTGCATTGTTAGCAAGTAAGCATTTCACGGTAAGGTCTACACCTGTTGTGTTCGGCGCATGTGACAAATAAAATGTATATCAATACTTTGCAGCTACAAACAAACTATTAATGATTAATTACCGCGTTCTTACCTGGTTGCTTCCCTCTTATTTCGCTGTTGTTTCCTGGTACTTTCCGGACGTTATCCTCTTATTTCAGCACTGTAAACTAAAGTGCTACCCATAAATGTGATGTTACATCTGTGTTCAGGCTATCCTGAATATGACCAGTCCATCTGATTTAAATTAAACTTTTTCTGTAGAGCAATCCAGGCTTAGAGCCCAATCCTTATCCTTTCATTTCTGCACGCATAACCTTGGCTTTCCCCTAAATCATGTAGGTCTATGAATGTCATTGGCAGGCGTGCATTAAAAGTTACGCACGCATGCAGATCAAGATCCGATTCGGCCCTGAGAATGTACTACTTTACTACTGTCCTGATGAAGTGGAGCATAGAGAGAACGTCATTTTCTGAGGAGAATGTCATTTTCTGAGGAGATTGTATTTTTCTGAGGAAAATGTCATTTTCTGAGGAGAATGTCATTTTCTGAGGAGAATGTATTTTTCTGAGGAGAATGTCATTTTCTGTTACTCTCAGATACCATGTTTCTGTGTAGACATGAATGCGTTTTAGGTTGTAGGTTATCTTAAAGGGTCCCTTACTTGTTGAGGGCATTCTTCAGGTACTGCTGCAGCCACTTGGTCTCGGGGTTGATACACACCTCCTTGTGGTTCTTCAGCTTGGCACTACAAAGAGAGAAAAGAGAGGGATAAGATTAATTGAGAAAGAAGAAAGGGATGAGATTGATAGTTTCTGGTGCCCTGTTCCATTCCAGCACAGACTGCCTAATTTTCACCTCCATTCTATCATCATTTATGTGCAGTGATATGGAAAGCTGTGTATATGCACTGTTGAGGAGAGCTTTCAAGTAAGCATTTCACTGTGCCGTTTATCCTGTGCACATGATCAATTAACTTTGAGTTGATATCGAACATCTATAGGTGCTTATCTCTTAAACCAACCCTTGAGCATCTGAGCCCCATTCAGAGTTGGAGTTCTCCTCTAGTAACAACACAGGAGAAACTCTCTGGACAATATCTCACTCAGGCAGCTCACTAAGGCTGCGCTGGAGGGATGTCGCTCTAAAATTCGACAATATTCTCTAACTCCATTTACAGTCACAGCCTTAGTCAATAAAAGTTAGCGTTACATCACTTTCCTGAACTCTACATTGTCTCCATATCTTTACGGGCTTAAGCCGCGCTGCTCTGGCATCACCCCTTCTTGTTATATGTGCCACCAACCGCTATCCTCACCCACTATAATCATACTGTTATCACCTTAATATCTGTCCTAGGCTAGCAGATTAAATGACCACTAGCTTGTCAACTGTGCATTTGGCTGCTTGAATTAAGAGATCCAGTCACTTCTGTCTGTCACTCATGAAGCTATCAACTAGTTAATTCCTCATCCCTAGCCCAGTTTCTATTTTCTACCAGGTCAGTTGACTGAGAACACATTCTCATTTACAGTAATGACCCAGGGAATAGTTACAGGGGAGAGGAGGGGGGGGGGGGGGGGGGTGAATGAGCAAATTGGAAGCTGGGGATGATTAGGTGGCAATGATGGTATGAGGGCCAGATTGGGAATTTAGCCAGGACACCAGGGTTAACACCCCTACTCTTATAATAAGTGCCATGGGATATTTTAGTGACCACAGAGAGTCAGGACACCCGTTTAACGTCCCTTCCGAAAGATGACACCCTACAAAGGGCAATGTCCCCAATCACAGCCCTGGGGCATTGGGATATGTTTTTACACCAGAGGTAAGAGTGCCTCCTACTGGCCCTCCAACACCACTTCTAGCAGCATCTGGTCTCCCATCCAGGGACCAACCAGGCTTAGCTTCAGTGGCAAGCCAGCAGTTGGATGCAGGGTGGTATGCTGCTGGCATGTTAAATAGTCCCCTTGGAGGAGATATGTTTCAGATGTAGCCAAATTATCTGCAGATACACACATTAGAGAAGTGGAGATTTACAAGTGTTACAGATTGGAATTCCTGGAGAGTTTTAAGCATTTAGCTGTATTGGTTTTAATGATAGACAGTTGAAGATTGGTAAGTAGAGGGATCCATGATCCATCCCATCTTGCCTTTTGACGGAATAACCCCAACCATGTAGCTATTGGATATGTCCAGAATAACCTGTGTGGCTATTGGCTTAGTCCAGAATAACTGTAACCTATTTGCAGACGGGGTATGGGTTAGATCACATGTCTCTATGTGGGGGTCAGTGCTTGAAGTGTGTAGTACACGTTATAAACATAACATGTTTAGCCTGTTAGTATACAGTGTATGTTAGCACCTTGTACCGATGACCATATCACAGCTGTGCTAAAATCACAATGAAGCATGCCAAGCTCTCATCTATTATTGCTTAACATACACACCCCACCTCTCTCCACACACACACACACACAACAATCTCATAATGTTGAGCAGTATCAGACCCTATGAGTTAGGAGTTAGATGAAAGCCACAGTGTATGAGAAAACAGGCCAATTATTTAGAGCTGCTATTAATGTTTTCCTGTTGAAAATAAAACTTTATCCAATTCCCAACCCCCTCACGCACACTCTTTTTCACGATACACTTCCTATGGATGTGTCTAATTATGTGTGCATGGCTTACAGAATGGACAATGAGAAGGGCATCAGCAGTGTGTTTGTGTGTTTGTGTGTGCGCCTCAGGAGCTCCTTTCACTGGCCGTCAGCTCCATGGGATTGATGGTGTGAAATGTCTGACCAGAAGGATCGACCTGTCACCCCTTTTAGAGCCAGGAGATCTTGGGAGTGTGTGTGCATGAGCTTGCCTGTAACCTGTGTGTGTGTGTGTGTGTGTGTGTATTTGTGTATGTGTATGTGTATGTGTATGTGTATGTGTATGTGTATGTGTATGTGTATGTGTATGAGAGAGAGAGAGAGAGAGAGAGAGAGAGAGAGAGAGAGAGAGAGAGAGAGAGAGAGAGAGAGAGAGAGAGAGAGAGAGAGAGAGAGAGAGAGAGAGAGAGAGAGCGAGAGAGCGCGAGAGAGCGCGAGAGAGGGTGTGTGTGTGTGCGCCTCAGGAGCTCCTTTCACTGGCCGTCAGCTCCATGAGATTGATGGTGTGAAATGTCCGACCAGAAGGAGAGACCTATCACCCCTTTTAGCGCATGATCTTGCCTATAACCTGTGCATGTGTGTGTTGGCGAGGTACTCACATCACTTGGAAGGGGCAGTTGGGTGTGTGTAGGAACTTCAGTTCTCTGATGTTGCGCTGGGGGACGGTGTTAACTGTAGAACGACACCAGCACCTCTCGATCATACTGAAGGGCTTAGCTGAAGAGGGGGTAGAACAGAGAACATTAATATAATATACAGTAATATTAAGAGATAAGTGGAGAACATGAAAACACCACCTCATTGTCTCAGAAACCATGAGAGAACACAAGGCCTATTGGAAAATACTGACAGAGAGGAGCAAGGCCCCCACTGTCAAGTGGATCATGGAGAACATTAATATTATCCTACACTGTAAGACTTTTCGGTAATTTCAACAGTAAAACACTGTGGAATGCACTGTAAAATATCTTAAATGTGTTTTACAGAATTTATGCTGTATATTGCACTGCATTATGGGTAAAATGCTGAGAAATACTGTTATTAACTGTAATTGAAAGCCTCCTGTAAAAATTACTTTAACATACTGTATTTCTTTACAGGAATAGCTTATGCCTACCGTATATTAAAATGTTCAGTTTCAGACGCCAACCTGCTGTCGGGTGAGACTCATGAAGCTCAGACATTTTAAATTTTTATTTTTTAAAGATATTAATTGTTGTAATGATTATGCTTCTCTGTACCGCAGCCTCTGGGTGTCATAGTGAATCAACTGACTCGTGACCATTATGTTTGCACCATTACTACAGAGAAAACGGCTTGTTTCCAGCCCAAACAGTTCAAACGGGCGGCAGGTAGCTTAGTGGTGAAGAGCGTTGTGCCAGTAACCGAAAGGTCGCTGGTTCTAATCCCCGAGCCGACTAGGTGAAAAATCTGTCGCTGTGCCCTTGAGCAAGGCACTTAACCCTAATTGCTCATGTAAGTCGCTCTGGATAAGAGCGTCTGCTAAATGACTAAAATGTAAATGTAAATGATATTACCCATATTACCGGTGCAATGTTTTTTTCTTTCTATATGTTTGCTGTTAAAAAATCATGTTGTTTTTACAGCATTATACAATAAAACTAAAAGCAATGTACCGTATTAATTATTTATAGTAAATTGAATACAGTACCCTACGGTGCGCTCGCGCTACCGTATTAATTATTTATAGTAAATTGAATACAGTACCCTACTTTATCTTTGGAGCTCCAAACCTTTTAACCACTACTGGGGGCAGGGTATTGTTGTTTCTGGCTCATTAACATATTTTGAACTGTGCCTAGAAAGAGGCTCAATTTGTTGCACCCATGAGTGAGAGTGCTGTACCAATTTAACTGATAAGTGGTAGCAGTGTCCCCACAAATGTTTATAGGGGACAGATTGGAGTGGCAGCAAGTATCAAACCCTTAATGGTTGAATATTTACCATGACCTTGGTCTGTTTTGCCCTGTGCTCACTGCAAGTTTGGAAGCCTTTAAACTCAGCTACTGCTCTGGTTAACCGTTGGGCATCATTTGAGTTCAATATCATTACATTATAAAAAAAATGTACGTCAATATTTTTCTGAGAAAGCCATGTATGCATTAATGAATCGATTATACAATCATGCAATCAATTTGACTTTGTTTTTACCAATCTAACTACATAATAACAATGGTAAGTATTTATTAGAATAGTAAATCTCTATTGATTAAACTGGGTAAATCAAGATATAGCCTAGGCCTATTCACAACAGGTGATTGCGTAATCAATAGGAGTGTGAGCATGCATTGAGTTATTGATCTTGTTTTGGCTGATTTCATGGGGCTACAGATGACAAACAATCTGTTTCCCTTCCATTTGGGACTTGTTTTATTGTACTGATCAACAATATTTGCATAGAAGTAGCATTTTTTATAAAAATGTGTGCTGTCTCTTTAACCAGTAATGATGTCATTCAAGAGGCAAGAGGGGTTCGCTGAAGCAATCGATAATCTTTGGGAGAGACGTGAGAGCAAGACCGATTTAAGTGAATTAATACAGTTTTGGGGTCAATCAGTTTGAAATCAGCATATTTTGCGTTATGGTTTGCATATTATCACAAACAAAGTACTAGGGGTAGTGAATTGATGTTGGCTTCAGCTGTAAGCAAGCAAAGAAAGTTAGCATACCAAGCTGGAAGCTACCGGTATCTTCTTGCATTATAAAGTGTTCTAGCCTGTATGGATTTGTTTTTGGCAAACAGTAATGATAAGTTTCAATATTTCTACATGTCGTGTCACATTATGCAAGTGTGTTAACTTCTGTGCAGGTGCAGCATGAATGGGGAGCTAACATGATGCAGCCCAGACACCCAGTGCAGGCTAAGTGGAGCATGCACGGTGCGCTCGCGCTATAAGGGGGACATAGACTGTGCTGATGAACTTGATCCGTGAGACACATTTGGCAGAAGTACAGAAAGTAACAAAAATTCTAGCACATAACCGTTTTACATGTTCTATATAGAAAAAGTACAGATGCGTCGGTATGCCGTGCAATACTATTTGTTAAAGGAACGTGCCTGACATTTTTTACCTCAAAATCATTGTCCTGATCACGTTACGAACATGTAGGTCTGTGAAAACAGCTTCAAAATGCATTCTGTAGACCTAAAGCTAGGTATGGATATTTTCCAGATTTTACCCTCAGTGACGTATTTGGGGGTAATCACGTGTTTGTTTTTTTACTACAACAAGCTTTAGGGATGAGTGAGGTTGATTTCCTGGTCTCTGCTTGTCCCATCCCCGAATGCGGGGAATTTGAAATAGTGGGCGTTTCATAGTTAAACAGCCATGAAACTGTAGTTCTGTGTGAGTCAGAGAGCTTCTATCATTACTACTGTCAGAGAACCTAGAGTGTGTAGAATGGATGCAGCAAACGATGACCCCCCCCCCCCCCTACGATTATAACTTTTATCAAGTGTTGTTGAATGATAATATCCAACCGTATTTGAACCAGAATACAGTGAGGAGTAAATAAGACGACGACAAGAGGAATATCTGGTGAGTCAAGCAGCAGCGGCTGCTGCCGAAGATGTAGCTGGGGGTCTCGCACGAACACTGACTGGTGGTGCCTATGTGGAAACTGCCCAGTAATGGCTACAGAGACATAGAGTGTTTGTTGTAATGACTGGGACCGGGCACAGTTTTTGTTGCCCACCATTGCCACCTACAGCCAAGGTGACAACTTTGTGTGATCGATCATCCAAGTTTCAACCCTCACATGGACCGAGGTGTGTTGGAGACATTCTTCAGTATCCAAGTTTCACGTTTTATTTATCACATGCACATGTACAGTGAAATGTTTAAGATGCAAGCCCTTCCCAACAATGCAGTCTTCAATATCAAAATAGTATAACTAATTTTGTATTAAAGAAACACGAGAAATAAGACAGGAAGAAAAGAAACAGGAGAGTGTAAGCTACAGTGCATTCGGAAAGTATTCAGACCCCTTGACCTTTTCCACATTTTGTTACGTTACAGCCTTATTAAAAAATGGATTTAAAAAAATGTCCTCATCAATCTACACACAATACCCCATAACAGGTTTTTAGAATGTTTTGCACATGTATTAAACATAAAAAACAGAAATACCTTATTTATATAAGTATTCAGACCCTTTGCTATGAGACTCGAAATTGAACTCAGGTGCATCCTGTTTCATCCTTGAGCTGTTTCTACAACTTGATTGGAATCCACCTGTGGTAAATTCAATTGATTGGACATGATTTGGAAAGGCACACACCTGTCTAGATATGGTCCTACAGTTGACAGTGCATGTCTGAGCAAAAGCAAAGCCATGAGGTCAAAGGAATTGTCCGTAGACCTCCGAGACAGAATTGTGTCGAGGCACAAATCTGGGGAAGGGTACAAAAAAATGTCTGCAGCATTGAAGGTCCCCAAGAACACAGTGGCCTCAATCATTCTTCAATGGAAGAAGTTTAGAACCACCAACACTCTTCCTAGAGCTGGCCAAACTGAGCAAACTGAGAAGGGCCTTGGTCAGGGAGGTGACCAAGAACCCGATGGGCACTCTGACAGAGCTCCAGAGTCCCTCTGTGGAGATGGGAGAACCTTCCAGAAGGACAACCATCTCTGCAGCACTCCACCAATCAGGCCTTTATGATAGAGTGGCCAGATGGAAGCCACTCCTCAGTAAAAGGCACATGACAGCACACTTGGAGCTTGCCAAAAGGCACCTAAAGGACTCTCAAACCATCGGAAACAAGATTCTCAGGTCTGATGAAACCAAGATTTAACTATTTTGCCTGAATGCCAAGCGTCATGTCTGGAGGAAACCTGGCACCATCCCTACAGTGCAAAGCATGGTGGTGGCAGCATCATGCTGTGGGGATGTTTGTCAGCGGCAGGGACTGGGAGACTATTCAGGATCGAGGCAAAGATGAACGGACCAAAGTACAGAGAGATCCTTGATGAAAACCTGCTCCAGCACGCTCAGGACCTCAGACTGGGGCGAAGGTTCACCTTCCAACAGGACAACGACCCTAAGCACACAGCCAAGACGACGCAGGAGTGGCTTCGGGACAAGTCTCTGAATGTCCTTGAGTGGCCCTGCCAGAGCCCGGACTTGAACCTGATCAAACATCTCTGGAGACACCTGCAAATAGCTGTGCAGCGACACTCCCCATCCAACCTGACAGAGCTTGAGAGGATCTGCAGAAAAGAATGGGAGAAACTCCCCAAATACAGGTGTGCCAAGCTTGTAGCGTCATACCCAAGAAGACTCAAGGCTGTAATCGCTGGCGAAGGTGGTTCAACAAAGTACTGAGTAAAGGGTCTGTATACTTAAGTAAATGGGTTATTTCCTTTTTTAGCAAAAATTTCGACAAACCTGTTTTTGTTTTGTCATTATGGGGTATTGTGTGTAGATTGACGCGGGGGGGGAAACAATTTAATCAATTTTAGAATAAGGCTGTAACGTAACAAAATGTGGAAAAGTCAAGGGGTCTGAATATTTTCCGAATGCACTGTATATACATGGTCAGTGCCAGTACCAAATGTACTGTGTGCAGGGATACTGGATTAGTTGAGGTAGATATGTACATGTTTGCCCTCAGAACAGCCTCAATTAGTTGGGGCATTAACTCTACAAGGTGTCGAAAGCATTCCACAGGGATGCTGGCCCATGTTGACTCCAATGCTTCCCACAGTTGTGTCATGTTGGCTGGATGTCCTTCGGGTGGTTGACCATTCTTGATACACACAGGAAACTGTTGAGCGTGAAAAACCCAGCAACGTTGCAGTTCTTGACACACTCAAACTGGTACACCTGGCACCTACTACCATACCCCGTTCAAAGGCACTTAAATATTTTGTCTTGCCCATTTAGCCTTTGAATGGCACACATACACAATCCATGTCTCAAGGCTTAAAAATCCTATTTAACCTGTCTCCTCCCATTCATCTACACTGATTGAAGTGGATTTAACAGGTGACATCAATAAGGGATCATAGCTTTCATCTGGATTCACCTGGTCAGTCTATGTCATGGAAAGAGAAGTTCACTCAGTGTATATATATTCTGGACTCTGACATTACTCGTTCTAATATTTCTATATTTCTTCATATTTTATTTATATTTTTTAGATTTGTGTGTATTGTTTTGTATTGTTAGGTATTACTGCACTGTTGGACTGAGGAATTTGAAGCTTTTCACCCTCTCCACTGCGGCCCTGTAGGCTG